GCCGGGATCTCTACGTGACGTGGTTCCACGAGTGTCGGGGACTAGCGTGACCATTAAAATTTATGCCCGCGCATTTTCGTACGGTTCGAACGTAAACAAACGCGAACCGACAAATCTTGAGCACTGTGTATATGTAACAAGTAACAATGGAAATGCTCTCTAGAAATTAGTGTCTTCGAGCGTTTAAAATGGCGCCATCTCAGAGACAGTAGATTGCTAACAGACGTATAAGGTAAAAGATAATAGATAATTAATAGATAAAAGATAGTTAAAGATAGAAGAAATGTTCGAGAATATGATACTGTTCACTCTTTGAACTCTGTAGGCTCCAATATTGCACCAGTTAGAATATTAACTATTTTAATGTTATATGTAATCAAGTATATTATATAATTGAACCATGAAAAATAATACTAGAATATTTTCGATTCTTTAATATTCTCCACATCAATTAAATCAATATCCAAACGCTTCGATCGTCGAATATAATTAAAAATCGAGAATCCACTGACAATATGGTACTTTTTATTCTGTCAAATGACGTTAGAATATTAAATATTTCAATGAATCTTAAAGAAACTAGCCTAAAATTATTAAATTTCCTACACACCTGAATTTTGTACTAAGGAAAATAAAAGATCGAAGAAATAGCATTCCTAATTTTCGCTAAGATTACTATAGAAACTAGTTGCAGTTGCTAGATTACAAAACAACCTATACTGCTGTTAATTGTTAATATCATTAGTATCTATATTCCGGAGTATTATAAATTTCCTGTGCGCAGAGACGTTAAAAAATTTGCGACATTCGACATTCCACAAACTAACACAGTTTTTAGTTTATTTTTTTAAATATTTACAAAGCGAGAATACGTACGATAATAACTTCTGGAGTAAATAAAAGGCTACTATGTACCCGTGCGATGGACCGATATCTAAAAAGTGAGAATATACGATGATCGAAAGGATCCGAAGAATGTTAATAGGGTTAATGCAAAGTTTCACGCACGCTTGGCTTGCCAGGAACACCGAGCAGCGACGGAAAATGTCGTTCGATCTCAAATTTCTTCACAATTCACCTATAAAAGTGCGAATTTGCATAAACTTCCGCGGTCCAGTGGCCACGGCACGCATTTCCGCGTCCCGTTTCATAGGGTCTGTCCCGTTAAGCGAATTAGATAAATAAATAATCCGCGTGAGATCGCGCGCGCGGATAGTTGGGCCGCGTCACCCCGCGAAGAAACGTTCCGCGACGGAATAGCGGTTATCACGGCGACTCCGTTCCCGTTCCAGCGCGTCTAACCCCCTGCCTTCTAATATCGCGTCAGCTCCGCGATGAACATTTCGAATTGAATTAACCGTTTCTGCGCTGAGGAGCGCTATAGCGCTCTCGCGTTGCGCCAGAATTGCGGAGAGCGCGGTGGCGCTTCTGTTTATCAGTATCAATTATAACTTTCTTACTATGTTCTTCAAGAAATAAATCAAAGTAAATTTATTTGAATAAATGTTTTTGATATTTTCTTGTAATAACAATATTTCTGATCTCATTAGATAACTACTGTTATTAATTCTTTTTCCATACAAACCCAATCACTTCATTTTTGGTAATCAATTATAACTTTCTTACTATGTTCTTCAAGAAATAAATCAAAGTAAATTTACTTGAATAATTATGGTAAAATTGATGATCTACGTGAAAGCAGAAGTTCGTGTTATTTACATGTTTAGCTTCATTACTCGAGAAACAGATAAAAAAGGTGAAAGGGCTGATTAGTGTCGGTGTAACTGGCCAGGGGGTAAAGAGGTCAAGTTGCGGTCGCTCGATGAAATCCGACCTCGTAACACCTTCCGCGACAATGGAGTGCCACGCGTTTCTCGCTCGCGCCGTTGGTTCCGTTCCCCGAATTCCGGAAACCAGCGGGAAATATTCGTCGGAAAATACAGTGTTTCTTAAAAATCGACAGTCTAGTCGTTAACACAACTACCGGACGAGTCGGAATTGTTATTTTGCAAATATTTCAATTACGAAGGCGTTTCTGTTAAAGATTTCCCGTTAAATCCGTGTATTTACAGAGATAACTAGATCCTTCGAATTTCAATAAATGTGTTCGAATTTTCATGAAAAATCAAAATAAGTCTGCTCGGCAGTTTTGTCGATACAAAGTAAAATAGTTTTGTCCTTTAATTTATTAAATTATTTACACTAGTCGCAACAAGCATCGTCTATACTTTATCAAAGAGTGTTGAATATTTCTAGTGAAAGACTTTGGAGTGCAAAGGGTTAATTGCTCTTTACTATTGAAATTAAGGAATAATCAAGTGGAAAAGGAAGAACGGAAGAGAATGGTTTCCGACTGGTTTCCTAATATTCAACCGGACCTAAAGGGGTTAAGAGAAAAGAATGCCCGCCAATTAACCCACTAACCGACCGATTAACTGGCCCCCTGGCCTAACGACCGCGATGTCATTTCGAGGCCCGAGATAAGCTTGACGCGATTGAACGCTGACACTGGGACGCGCCGGCAGCTCGCTCGCGACTCATTTCAGTCCGCAGTTACGTGTACACGACGGATCTAGGAATTCCTGTTGGCCGTTAACCCTTGCTCACTGAACAGGAAATTGTTACGGTTAATATTCGGTGCGTTAAATCGGATCAAAGTTGACGTCCAATTGTGGGAACAGGACTCCGCGTAACCGAATTATTAACTTAACCCTTTGCACTCCAGGTTGTTCTGCAATCTATCGGCAACTGCTAATTTTTATGGTATTCCCAGCGAAAGTTAAAAATGCTATAACATTTCTTCGATCTTTTATTTTCCTTAGTACAAAATTCGGATGTGTGGAAAATTTAATGATTTTAGGGCAGTTTCTTTAAGATTTATTTAAATAGTTAATATTATGACTGGTGCAATATTGGAGCTTACAGAGTTCAAAGGGTTAAACTGTTGGAACTGAATTACCAGTTCCAAAAAAAATAGTTCCAATCTATTTTTTACAACTAATATAAAGAAATACCCTGCATAAATTAAGTAACAGAACTATTTTATTTCGACGTTCCATATGTTGATACATTAAATAAGATTTAATATTGAGTTTAAAATTTTACTATTTCATTGGGTCACAGCAAATGGCGACTGAAAGGCGCCCCTCGAGTACAAAGGGTTAATACAATTATATTTGGTAACACAGATATTTTTGGTTATCTCCAAAAGTATTTTTCCAGTTCTAATACGCACTTAGGTAACACACAAACTATAGTAAAAAGAGATGAGACTTGAATCTACTTAAAAATTTCATAAACTCAATAATTCTTTACGAAAATAATATAATGAAGTAGACTGTTCGCAGTAAATCCTTTCAGATTTCCTAAAAATCCTATTCCTCCCGGATATCCATACTTCTTAGTTCTATGATTCCGCGAAGCCGGTTCGCGGATACCGATGCAATCGGAAGAATAATGGGTACGTTAATTTGCATCGTTAGTATCGTTCGATCCGCGTCTCGGTCAGGTTCGACTGGGTGAATTATCGTCCACGAACCCGCTGTAACTTTCGCCCGTGTAACGCCATTATTCAGCGGCTAATAATCCGCGGCGGATTGTAATTAGCGATGCCTGACATCGAGCAACTCGTAGGTGTCCCGTGACACGGTCGTCAAATTAATTAACCCTCGATTGAGGTTCTTTACGGCGGCCCGCCGGTGATCGACGAACTTCGATCCGGCTGCGGAGGTGTTCGAGACGCCGCGATGCTTATCCTCCCGTGTTTTCTGTTTCATATTAATACGATCTCAAGCTCCGTCAATCAATTTCGATCGACCCACACGCTCGCGGTAACGATCGCCTCGCGAATCGAGGCAACTTTTCTCTTCGCAGTGCTTTTATTACAATCTTTATCTTGGCGCTCTGCGCTTTACAGTTCCAGTGATAAATATAAAAGAACAATTTCTGTTAATCAGGTAGCATTGTCTATAACATAGAAATATCTTGAAATGATCGTCGTTTAATTGAGCGAACTATAATAATTCAATTCTCTTTTGCATTCAACGTGTTAAATATAAAAGAGAACAATTTCTGTTAAATTTCTGAATCAAAATGAATTGAAACTGTTACTAAATAACCTTTAAAAAATTCAATATCCGTCGAATTGACGGTTTCCATAAATCTGTTAAGTGTCTTCGTATTGATTAGATTTCCAGTGACGATCTGGTTCTAGGTAATGTCCGAAGTTTTCAGTGATTAATAAAACTGATTTTGCTACTGCTTTGCAGTTGGTACACGTGAAATTGATATCTCGTAGCTTAAAGGTTTCAGTACACCGAAGATCGATAAAGATCGCCGGTCCCTCCCATTCGCCTTGTCTTCCGTGACGCCCCGCGAAAATCATCGGTTTCGAGGTTTCGCGGATTATTTCCTATGGGCGTGACGTCGATCCCGCGGTAATTTAATTTATGTCTTTCCTGGCGCGTTCAGTAGCCGGCCAGAAGCGTTGCGGCTGCTTTAACAAGCGGGCGTAGCAGAGCTTGCAGGAAATGGAGGATGATTAAGGGGAACAGTGGAAGATGCCCGAGTTCGTCAGCCTGGAATTTGGTTGTTACCGCCGCCATGGGAAACGCGGCTACTATTCGAGTGTGCAGCGACTAACGATTTCTCATTATTGTATCGCCGATTCTCACGGTGATCCGTAAAAACCGCCTCCGGTAACGAGCAGATCTAGAATTCGCCGCCATTACGAACTTCAAAGCGCGCGCCGCCATTTTAGACGGCGAATTAAACGCTTAAGCGCTCTGCAACACTAATATTTCGACGTTCGTCCCGAAAACCGAAACTAAAAGCGTATTTTCAGCGACATTAAACTTTCCTATATCCTGAAACTGAAAGTTTCCTATCACATAACCTCACTTTTTCAGCGACCTCCGGTAACCATAATATTCCCTCGATGTTTTAAGTGTATTTTCTGAATCTTCGTTATGATCAGAGATCGTTTAAGCAGTACCACTCACCGCGATCAACCGGCGCACACATTCATCAGGAAAAACCGATTCGTTATCGATCCAGGATCCACGTTCCTCGGCTGCGTACACGCCGGACCGGCTTCCACGAAATTCGTCGCGGCGCACGGAGCCGATATTTCAAACCTGTCCAGTTTCCAGATCGTTAAAAGCGCAGATAGGAAGATATCGGTCGTACTCGCGACAACGGTACCCTCCGCCGATCCACGGCGCGGAGTCCGGTTAATCGACTCGGAGGGTGCGAACGCCTGGCGAACTGGAGCGAATCGTAATTGCCCGCCGGTTTTTGCGCGATTTATGCCTCTTAATAAACTCTTCCCGTATTTATAATCACGGCAACGTGCGCGAGCGAGCGAGCGAGCGAGCGAGCGTACGGTCGTGCGCTGCGCGATTTTTTCGCGGGGCGAACGATCGACGGCTGATTCGATTCGGCGCGCGCGAAACCACGGTTGATGTACAGTTAAGTCATCGGAGGTTGATGCAACGCGCGTCGCGCGGCGTTATCTCGCGACCGCGAACCAGCGCAGCGACAAATATCGGCACCGGCCGGACAGATAACGATAAATCCTCGATTATCATATGGAAAACGCGAGCGGCCGCGGCTAATTCGACCGGCGAACGACGGACGGCCACGGTCCGTTGCGGGCAACAATTAAAATTCTTGCCGCCGCTACGATATCGGACATCTCGGCTCGTCAATTCACGGTTCTACCGTCCTCTTTGGCATCGATTAAGCGCAGAACGACCGTCCATTAATTCTATTCATAGGCGAACCGCGGCGACCAGTTTCCCGAGTACACCGCTCCGCGACCGCCAACACAAACGCGACGCGCGCGCATTCAGCTTGACGGCTCGCTGCTACGGTAACTGTACGCTCGCGCGCCCGCTCGCTCGCTCGCTCGCTAGCGAGCTAGCTCGCCGGAGCCGATACCAGATAATACGCTCCGCTAATAAACTGTTTCGCGATCCCTGACCCTGATATTAATCGTCTAATACGAATTGGTGATTTTTATCCGGCGACTTTTTAACGACCTCCTCTTCCGGGGCTACGGATTCTACGGTATTTTTGTTTTCGACGCTGCTCGGTCGGCGATGGAATGCTGTGAGCATGGAATTCTCCTTGTTCACTTTAAAGCTTCACATTCCTTACGTCCTTTCATTGATACGCTTACTGCAGCTTCTGTATTTCTTCGTTAAAATCGCGAGGTGATAGATCCGAGGGCGGCCATTTTCTTTCGAAACAGTCTCGGATAATTTTCTGTTAATCCTTTGCAGTCGGAAATTCTTTGAAACGTACAAAATCTTCGATAGAAGCTAAATTATGCATCGATTGCTTAAATAATAGAAAAGAAGGAAACTAAGTGCGATCTCTCGAGTAATTAAATCACTTGTTTCAGTCTTCCAAATATGAAAATTTCGTCTGAATGACATTCGTCCGCAAAGGGTTAATAGCATTTCAGCGTTGGGAAGTACTTTTTACGAGAAGCGTAAGCAGAAACGACTACGAAGTTTTTACCGCGTCCTACGGATTAGTTTCTTTCGATAAAGGTTCGCGTGAACTTTTGCGCCCGGGGTTTTTGTTATTTCGAACAGTGTACGCACGAAACGATCGCAAACAGCTTCTAAATCATCGCTTGTAGCAGACGCCCGAACAGCGAGCAGCCTCGCAAAACCGAAAGGTTCTACGAGATCGTTCGACCCGTTCCCGTTACGCGCAGACTAATATAATTACACCGCGACAGAACCAGTTATTAAACCGTCGCAAAAAGCCCGGCGCGGGATCGCTCGCCTCCGCGTGGCTTGTGTACAATAAGCGGCAAGGTTCACGCGGCTACACGACGAGGGTGACGTTCATTAGCGGGACGGAGCGTGGACGTTTTATTGGCCAATAAATTCCAGCGACGCGATAAGAGGCGATGTTTGGCCCCGCGGGCGGGATGATCATCGCGTGAACGTTGACGTCGCGAACAGTGGCGTTATTTTTTCCCTCCTCGATATTATATGCTGCACCTGGCGATATCTTGTTCAACTGATCTCTGTCTTTGAATTTGCAAAGTAACTGTTTTAGAATAATATTCCTGAAAGATTCTCTCCGGGGATTTTGTATGGAATTCTACCGGTTCCAATCTGTGGCTTAATTACTATTCTTCAAACTCCAGAAGTTTTTCACTGGAAATATTCAATACTTTCTAATGAGATACAGATGACATTTTCTTAGATTGAATTAAGAAATCTCACATGCATTCAGGAAGAGAACTATTTTATACGAAGTTTAATATTAAATATCAAAGTTTACAGTTTGCTGTTTCAAATCATTTGGTGACTTAGAGGCGCCTCTGGAGTGCAAAGGGTTAATAAAGACAGCTATGCAACTTTGCTAATTGCCATTTAAAGAAATATTCAATTTGATTCGAATTGATTATCTATTTGAAATATATTACATAACAATATGATATCTGGGTTTTTCTACGTATAGTGATATAAGTTGACCTCACTGAAAATTGCCATCACAATTCAGTTTTCTGGAAATTAGTCAGCAATGTGTTAATTATTATACTTCACGGTAAACATAGACATGGAATGTTTAGAATTGTCCTCTGTCTTTCAATAAATCATTAACAAAACTACCGAGCAGACTTATCTTGATTTCTCAAAAAAATTCGAACGCATTCATTAAAATTCGAAGGATCTAGTTATATCTCTGTATTTAAAGTGGAGTTGTTATTTTTAACGTGCATCATCGATGAACGCTATAACTACCTCCCGAGACTTGTAATCGAAATGCTGTTCCAACTGAAATTGTCATTCGACAGTTGACAATTATCAATAACGCCGGAATACGCGCGTAGCCTTCAATCGAACGCAAATTACCATTATCTAGGAAATTATTATGGTCCCCGTATTAGCAGCCAATCTAACCAGGTTATCTATTACAGCAGCAGCGGCATCGGATCTCGGTCATTCATCGTCGCACGCGTGACGCAACGAACTCGTTATTATCTTCATTATAATTGCTTAACCGTATGCATCGACTTTAACGGATCCCGTTGCGTGAAAGGCGGAACCCATCCAAAAGGAAGACACCTACCCCACGAGGTAACACATTATGCGTCTCGGGCAAGAATGCCAGCGAAAGGAATGCGAGTCTAATTTCTCGGCTTTCGTCCGTTGTCATATTTCTTTTTCACCTGCACTCCGTCAATTACGCTAATCAAACCTATAAACTAAACGCGTATTAACACTTCGACTGTCACCTGAATTCGAGTGACATTTTTCATAGAAACTTCGACAACCCTGTACAAAACCATCGACAGATGGAGCTAAATTATATATCAATTGCATAATTGATAGAACAAAAGGATCCGTGGGTAATAAACATTGATTCTTATTAAATTACTAATCTTCAACGAGTCTCACTCGTCATACGACAAAGGGTTGAATAAATCATTTCCCTATTTCCTAATCATTTCCAGTAAACCTCTAAACAGAATGAACACACAATACTTTTTCCAACAAATTCTAAACAAACCAATGTTCCCAAACACGGTTACTCACAGTACCAATTTGTTATTCATAAAGTCACTTAAGTAATGAAAACAATAAACAAAAAAAGAATGATCTGATGTCTGCAAGTTCTGCTAAGTTCTGGAAACTTCCGATAGTGTTAACGCGTCTTGTCGAATAAGAATTCATCCCGTAATTCTATAGTCATTCAAACCACCCAAATAAACGAACACATAGCAAGAGAACCGTCTTGCTCCAGTGCCGACCTTGCAGACATCATCTGGCAACAGTAGTGGCGTCCGTCCCGGCCCGACCCGACTTCCCACAGTCGATCGATGACGATCGAGAGCTTGGTCGTCGCGAGCCGAGAAATGATCGAGCACGACGGCCCGTGAAAAGGGGACGCGCGGTCGGTTGTCCTTCGATGCTGCGAGGAGATTGCGAGCTTTCGCTAACGCGGACGGACAGGCTGCTGCTGTTGCTCCCTCTCCTCTCTCTCCCTCTTTCTCTCCTCTTCTTCGTTTTTCTCCTTTCCCATCTCTCTCTCTCTCTCTCTCTCTCTC